AGTTTAAATAGTTAATACTAGTTTTGTTGTCATTGCTGAAAAATTCGGTAATACTGGATATTTTCAACACATGTTTACTAGCCATTATATGTCCAGATCTAAAAAATAATAAACTCAAAAACTATTACAACACTCATTATGGCAATTTAATAGAAAGGTTTCCACAGAATGTTATATTACAACTTAAACTACAAGAAAAACGAATATCTTTAGTCTTCTATCGTAACAGGATAAAATCAATGGCAACGAAAAAAGAATAAAACATTAACGTAAATATTTTTCAACTTCGTAAATAAATTCAATGCTTTATTGATTTATTTTGAAATACCCCTGATAAAAACAACCAGAAAATACCTTAAAATACAGTAAAAAAAGAACATACATGTACATTAAGAGAAAATATCTTAACCATTTGATATTCTTATCTCACAAATTTACGAACAACAAATAATACCAATCGCACAGAATTAATTTTCATAACCAAAAGTCCTTATTTAGTCTTCAAACAATTAAAAAACCAATATTTCCATCTTCTTAGGGGCAAATGACACAAATAGAAATGTTTGGAAAGGTTTTCTAAGCCCCTCCCATTGTGACGTCAGACTTAAGTAGTCCATTATAGCATCACTAAGACCTTAAGTCTGTTAGCTCTAGAAGCAAAAATTAAGTCCAAATTGCCGAGAATATATTTCGTTAATCGACAAAAACAATATTTTGCAATTTATATCAACTTCTTAATATTAATTTCAAGAGTTTTTTCGAAAACGGTTTCCTAATTGGAAGTCGAAACGTCAGAAACCACCTTGTATATTTCAAAATACTATTTTTTCTACTCTACTAAAATTAAATATAATAAATAAGCCGTTAAGTTCTCTTCCGACAATGTGGGCCACTAGAAATAAAACGGCCAAATAAAACAGGTGCACTGATTCGAGTCACAACATATGTATTTTTGGATCGTTTCCCATTGACAAATATAACCTATTGAAATAGGTAATGGGAAAACTCAAAGAGTCACACACTCTGCCACTTACAATGTGAGTGCTGACTAAAGGACAACGTACTTTTTAAATGTAAATTTTGGATCTTTGTCAAAATAGTTGGAAAATCGTCAAATAAGTCAAAAGCCAGGTGTAATCAACATAAAAGTAGTCCAGTCAAAATATAATTTTTCTGTATGTAAACTATTACATGTATTTTTATATTGGATTTATAATTTTTATTATTTTTATGTGAAAAACTTGAATTAGCTGTATCTATCTGACCGCCCGTCTGTCTGTAAACACAACTTCTCTGTTATTAGAACAGAGAATGACAAATACTTAAGGTATCGAATAAGAGCTTATAACACAAAGATGGTGTTAAAGGTAAGTAAGTAATATATTGCCTCTAAGAATATCCCTATATATCCCTCTAAGAAGGGACAGTTTTAATGATCATGGCAAATTAGCCCTAATTATGAATTAGGACTTAGGTTTGCAACTAGACGAATTAAACGATAAAATAACAACAGAACTACTAGAAGCAGGCCTGAAGATTGCTAATAAACAAAAGCGAAAACAACAAAAAATTAGCGCTAAATCACAAGATATGCTAAAAAAACGACGACAACTACTGAATGATAACAAAAGAAATACAGTGGAGTTTACCGAACTGAACAAAACCATAAGAAAACAGATAAAGGAAGATTTAAAGAAATACCAAGAAGACCGCATTAAGAAAATCATAGAGAAGAACAAAAGTTTAAAAACAATGAAGACAAATACAGGAAAAAGAAAACTAATCATGCTTAAAGCTGAGAACAATGAAGAAAGAGATCTAGGAGAAATAGTAAAAATCACAGAAAGATATTACACAGACCTATACAGTTCTAAAAATGACCCACCACTATCATCTAAACAGAATCTCTCGAGGAAAATACAAAATGTTGGCTCAGAGGTATTACCAGAAATAACTGAAGATGAGATCGAAAAATCCATAAACGACATGAAAAGAAATAAAGCGGCCGGTGAGGACAAAATACTGGCGGAACTGCTAAAAGAAGGAGGAGACACGATAAAAAAAAATGCTAAAAATACTGTTCAACAAATGTCTGTTTGAAGGTAAAATACCTAAACAATGGAGAAATGCCAACACAATCTTAATACATAAGAAAGGAGACCGAACAGACCTAAACAACTACCGTCCTATTTCCCTTTTGTCACAACTATATAAAACCTTCACAAGAATAATAAACAAACCGACTAACCTATAAACTTGATAACTACCAACCAGTGGAACAGGCCGGATTCAGGAAAGGATACAGCACAATCGACCATCTACATGCGCTTAAAATCTTAATTGAGAAAACCAATGAATACAACCTTCCGCTGTACTTAGCATTCGTAGATTATGAAAAGGCTTTCGACAGCATTGAACACTGGGCGGTTGAAGAAGCTCTGGTCAATAGTAGAATAGATTCAAGATACCGACAATTGATACATGATATTTACCAAAACGCAACCATGACCGTAATTCTGGACGACAAATTAATAACGGATAATATAAAAGTTAAACGAGGAGTCCGACAAGGCGATATAATTTCACCTAAACTGTTTACCTTGACCCTCGAAGACATAATTAAATCAACAGATTGGGAAAACAGAGGAATATGTATTAACGGAAAATACCTAAATCACCTTAGATATGCGGATGATATACTCCTGATCTCCTCGGAACGACAAGAACTGGAATTAATGCTGAATGAACTTCATGAAAAATCACTGCAAAAAAGCCTAAAAATTAACTTCAGAAAACAAAAGTAATGACAAACACGGAAGACCAAGAGGCAATAAAAATAAAAACAGAAAAAATAGAACAGGTAAATGAGTATATCTATCTAGGACAAGCAATCAGAGCTAACAGAGAAAATCAAACAGCCGAAATATCGAGACGAGTAAGAATGGTATGAGCAGCGTTCGGCAAACTTTCTTAGGTTTTAAAAATCAAACAATCCCTCTATACTTACGAAGCAAGGTATATAACTCCTGCATAATACCGGTGCTCACCTACGGAGCACAGACATGGACATTTACACAGGCCAATTTGGATAGGATAAGGAAGGCACAAAGAGCGATGGAGAGACAAATGTTGGGTGTATCACTTAGAGATAGAAAACGTAACCAGTGGATCAGAACCAGAACAAAGACAGTAGACGCGATAGAACAAGCAGCAAAACTGAAATGGAAATGGGCTGGACACAATGAACGTCTCCAAGACGGACGATGGAACAATGCCATCGGAAAGTGGCGTCCATACAATGCAAAGAGATCAAGAGGCAGACCACAGATGAGGTGGAAAGATGACATCAGGAAACAAGGAGGTCCCACATGGCAGAGAACAGCTCAAGATAGGGAAAGATGGAGAGAACTGGGGGAGACCTATATCCAACAATGGAAGGATAGAGAATAGGTAAAAAAAAAATGAATTAGGACAGAGAACCGTTTGGATTCAAAGGGACTTTCTCTTCTTCATCTACTTGCTAAGTTCTTATAAGTGAAGGATTAGCAAGTAGATAAGCAAACAAGCGACTGAGTATTTTCTGCGAAAGCAAGAATCTTATGAACCCGATGAAGTGGCCACGCTACGGAAAGTTAAGCACATGCCCGTTTCTGCTAATTTGTTAGCCATGGACGTTGCCAAAAAATATTTTTTTGGAGAAATATTTGCAAGAATTTGTTGGATACTTTGAATATGCTTCAGCATTTATATTTTAAAATTTAGTTGTCTTGATCTTTACATTCAGTTTTTTTGATATAAATTTTGACACATTTTCTACTCCTTTATTTTCTGTAAAATCGTATCCTTTACTTATTATTACATTCTGTTTCCTCATTATCTTGTTCATCTTCTCAACATTTTCCTCCATAGGGCAAACTTTTCCTTTTAGCTCTCTACTCTCCTTTTCTAGCGAATATATTTCTTGTTGAAAATCTCTTTTGTCCATTATTAAGCTTTAACTTCATTAAGAAGTTCTGCAATTATATTCTTCATTGCTTCATCCTCAAATTTTTTGGTTGGAGACTTGATGTTTTGTTTTTTACTGTTCCTATATAGTGTTCCCGTATTTGGTTCTTGTCACCCTGAACTGTCACTACAGACTGCGCCACACACCTCACCAGTCAACCGATCGAAGTTTGTGGTGCTAAAAATTTTTACTGTATCTTATGTTTCCGTAAGACAGAAGTTAAAGATTTCGTTTAAAATTATATTGAACACTGCTTTACCACTGCAGTATCCCAGTAACACTTTTAAAAAAGCGTGCAAAAAATAGAAAAGCTTTGGCATGTATAAAACACCTATCACAACCAATGCTAAAACTAATAGATGAATAGACTATAAAATTAGTAATAAAACTTCATGCTGCATGTAACACAAAGGAGTGATTTCCTTATATCCTTAGATTTGGACAATTCTGATAAACATATGGTCCATATAAATGAAGAATGTGAAAGATCTTTAATCATCAAGCTGGTGTCTTTGAAGTTTAAAATCTTTGTAAGATAGTTTGTAAAATTAAAAACGCCACAGACGAAACACTGCATGTGACAAAATGAAAATTAGCATAGTATCTTCATTATAATCATTCAGTATTTGACTTGTCCCATATACCTGTCTATATAAATGAGTCATGGTAGTCGTATTTCAGTAAAAAAGACAGGTTTAAAGAATTTGGCTTGATCATCTTATGGTCGTGACCTTAAATCTTCAAAAAGACGCTATTATAAATTTAAAAGCTATAACTTGAAACTCATAAAATGCAAATTATTTTGTTAAAATTAAAAATAGAACGGAAAATGCTTGTAACTCGATTTTAGTACATACTAAAAACGTTTTATTGTTCAAATATGACAAACAAATTGTTTAACGAATTATTTAAATATAATTTCAATAAATAAATGGTGTCAAATTTTTGTGTAAATCTCTTCATCGTGGTAATTAAATTGTTTTATTTTTTTCAGGAACGAGGCTGGGAATATAAGCAAATATGCGTCACAAGGGTCCCAGGTTATGGCTTCGGCATAGCAGTTTCTGGAGGAAGAGACAATCCACACTTTGCATCAGGTGATCCTAGCATAGCAGTCAGCGATGTATTGGCGTCAGGACCTGCTGAACGACTTTTACAGTAAGTTTTATATGATCCCATTCTGTTTATATTAATCTTATTGATTTCTATCTTACTCCAGACCTTAAACAATCACGATACACGAGACCTTAAACAATACTGTGACGGTTATTTTGCCTACCACATAGGGTATTACTATAGGGGGTTGAAAATTGGGAACAGAAATTGCTGGGCTAGGGATAGGGTAAGCAGAACAAACCGAAACGTTTGCGAACGGCTACTCTGGGTTTGTTTGGAGAGCTGTGTCGTAGATAAGTGAATCACAAGGGGATTGGAATGGGGTAACTACAAAAAATTAAACAAAAGGGGTACTTACATGGATCTCCTGGACAAAACAACACAAGAAGGTTCCTAAGCTATTTAAATTGGACGCCGCTTACAAGAATCTTCCTGCTAGGTGGAAAGGTAAGCTTTTCTTTCCTGATTTGCACTAAATCCCCTTTAAAAGTTCTGGGATTGGAACTTGATTCAAAATTCACTGCAAAAACAATGCTCTCACAAATGACAATAGTCTGGAATGACCTGGGACAAACAAAATGAGGATGGAAGCTGGGTATTGGATTATCTCGACGCAATCTTCGAAACTTGGCTTCTTAAAAACTCAAGCTTTTGCTTGGAACCATGTGGGTATCTTTTAAACGGAAATACGCCACAATTAAAGTTTATTGACGTTTCAATTTCCTCTTCGGAAATCGTTCTCAAAATACAAACATTAGTAAATTGATTTACTTCATTTAATAATAATTTCATTGTACAAAATAGCGAAACCTCGTTTTACAAACAATTCAGTATTTAAATTACAAAAAGAGAATTTTTGTTGTAAAATGTAATAAAAAAATAAAGAACTAACCTCTAAGAATCGATTGAATAGCATACAGGCTTAATAGTGAAATTAAAAAAGCTATAAGAATTCCTAAATATTGAGACGAAAACCAAATATTGCAGTGCTTTCAGAAATCGCTGCAGTATTCTCCAATTATGTAAATAGGATTATCTCCAATAAAAAAAGAAATTGAAACTTGGAAAATGCACTGAGGCATAAAGAATTTACATATATTGATAGAAGTTCATTGTTCCTTTAATAGTAAAATACGAGATGGAACCAACTGCTAGTTCTTAAGAAAAAGGTATGACAGTGAATAGATTTCCATGGATTGTGTGATTTTATTGCGTTTATTTAAACAAATAACAATACAAATGTTCTGAAACTGTTTTTTTTTGTGACATGAAGTTAAAGATTGTTTTGTATGGAATAAACCAGAAATTTTTGTAATGAGGAGTGCGCTGTATTCTTGTTTTTATGTATTTGTAAGAGTTTTTATGTTTATATGTTTGTAAAAATACTGTGCAAAAGACAACTAGAAAAAAGCACAAAGTCGAACGAAAATGTAAAGAGGAATTTAAGCTATCAAATATTTTAAAGAAGATGAGTCCATAATAATCTTACCATACGTAAAAGGGTTAGGTTAACAAACAGCTGACGATTTAAATTTATCTCGCACCAAGATTCGGTTGAGGGCTTTACGATGTGTAGAGTTGATTGTGAAAGATTAAATTAGTTTTTCCATTCATTTGTCACTTTTTCTTTAGCCCATTAGTGCTCAGAACTAAAAAAGTTTGAAAGTTGTAAATTTCCTTATAGATTTTATTACAAATAGTGTTCAATGTTCCTTTAATAGTAAAATACGAGATGAAACCAACTGCTAGTTCTTAAGAAAAAGGTATGACAGTGAATAGATTTCCATGAATTGTGTGATTTTATTGCCTTTATTTAAACAAATAACAATACAAATGTTCTGAAACTGTTTTTTTTTTGTGACATGAGGTTAAAGATTGTTTTATATGGAATAAACCAGAAATTTTTGTAATGAGGAGTGTGCTGTATTCTTGTTTTTATGTATTTGTAAGAGTTTTTATGTTTATATGTTTGTAAAAATACTGTGCAAAAGACAACTATAGAAAAAAGCACAAAGTCGAACGAAAATGTAAAGAGGAATTTAAGCTATCAAATATTTTAAAGAAGATGAGTCCATAATAATCTTACCATACGTAAAAGGGTTAGGTTAACAAACAGCTGACGATTTAAATTTATCTCGCACCAAGATTCGGTTGAGGGCTTTACGATGTGTAGAGTTGATTGTGAAAGATTAAATTAGTTTTTCCATTCATTTGTCACTTTTTCTTTAGCCCATTAGTGCTCAGAACTAAAAAAGTTTGAAAGTTGTAAATTTCCTTATAGATTTTATTACAAATAGTGTTACATATTTACTAAAAAATACATAAAAAAATCAAGGTCTGTCAAAAGGTTGTCAAAATGAGTGGCAACTTTAGTTGCCACTGAGCGCTTACAGTTTGGTAATAACCAAAAATTTTCTATGTAATAGAAATGTATTAAAAACTAATCGTGCTTTAACAAAACTAGAGATACATATTATGGAAATTATTTATGGAAAGTTTCAAAGCAAGTCACATGTAGGGGTACATTACATTTATTACACAAGTATGTTGTTCTTCTTTGACACATTTTGCATCTGCGGCACTTTGAGTCTCCTTTCGCGATAACGAGATTTTTCTTGTCCGTTCTTAGATCTTCTAAAACAGCGGAAGTGGAAAACGATGTATGCGGCCCGGGTTTAGTTGGAGAACATCCATATTTTGTAAGAAGCTGTAATACTACTTGTCTTCTAAATTGCAAGTATGGTAGTTCGTGACCTAGAAGCCTATATAGAAGCCAACCTTGAACACAACATTCATCCATAGACCAAGCATAGAGTGGCTACCACCATTTTTTATTGCGAATTTTGCATCTATATTGAGCAGTGAACATTTAGGTCAACACCTCCCATATTAGAATTATAGTGGGAAATGGCATCAGGCATTTTAATCATCATCTTCTTGTTTTCACGTTTACTAAACTGCTGAACATTTTTAAACGGCACTTCTGTGTGGCAGTTTGATAATACTGTTACAACAGCATTGTCATTCCATCTAATGGCTGTTAGCTTTCCATTAGATTGTAACGAAAATATTTTGCCTACCACAGGGGCATTAATATAAGGTAGAAAATTGGGGGAAGAAACTATTGGGGGTGGAGATAGGGCAAGCAAAATAATCGCTACTGATGCGAACGGACACTCAGGGTTTCGTAGGAGAGCTGGGGTCGTGGATAAGTAAAAGATAAGGGCATTGGAATGGGGCAACTACAAAAAAATGAAATAAAGGGCTCTTGGGATAAACAAAATAAAAATTAAACAAGAAACACCTCAAGGAATTTAATATAGGGCGCCACTTGAGGTGCCTAATTATGCCTATTACAACCACTAGTTGTAACTAGGGAAATAATTAGAAAATAAAATCAAAACATATCTTTTTCAAATAAACTCAAAAAGGGTTAGCTTAAAAAAAATAAATAAAAAGTTAAGAAAATAAAATTTAACCTTTAATTATGTGTACCACAAACAGTTACAAATACAAATAATACTAACAAAATACAAAAAAAAAACGACTTACAATGGCGCTTTCGGTTTACAACTCTGGGCGTTGGGGACCCTATTTGCGCGACATTTTGTAGCGGTAACTATTTAAATATTTATTATCATATTTTTAAATGGAGCTTACTTACTGAGGTTAACCTTTTTAAAAACAAAACAAATTCAAAGTTTATGGTTATGTATGTACCAAATATCCGAAGACAATAATGCTAACTGTCATATGTCAAGATTAAATTTTTAAAACTATAAGAATAATTAATATGACAGTTAACCAATCCCTAATATTTATAATTTTATTTATTACAATTTTTGCAACTTGTCATGAAAGCAATTATCGATGAAAACTGTCTATTTTTACTTTAAAAAATGTTTACGAAAAAAAAGAGTACCTGATATCACTGAATATTATATCTCCTTTAAAAGTTTTGGGGCTGGAACTTTACTCAAAAACACTGCAAAACAAACAAATGCTTCTCACAAGCTGCAAAATGGTCTGGAATGACCAGGGACAACAAATATACGATGAAAGCTGGGCACTGGACCATCGGACTTCGGGTTAATTAAACTGCAATCTTCAAAGCTTGGCTTTTCAAAACTTCTCAAAACACAAAGCTCTTCAAAACACAGCACGACCCAAATCGGTGATTAACTCAGACAAAAACTGACACATTACATTTGAGTATAATATTCACTTCTCCACATATAAATTTGCCGGTTCCTTGAAGAATACCACCCAAGCACTTTCCCGTCAATATCATAAACCAACCTCAAATTGTAACTACACATGCTACCAAACTTCAATACTTCTGATGAAAAAAACTAATAACAAAAAAAAACATTACGAATTTGATGAAAATTCGGACTACACAAACGAAACCAACTGCCCTTGACAGCGGCTCCACCGATAGTAACGAAATTAAAAATTTGTTCGCTTAACTTGAAAATCAACGAACTGCTGAAATAGCAAAACCAAAGAACGACGTAGATATCCTTTGAAACGCATTTACATGAAAAGAAATCGCCGCAGTAAAATAAACAACAATTAAATGGATTTATTACTCTACGACGTTAGAATGATTGAAAACACTTTTCGAAAGATACGAACTAAAAAACAGAAAACATTCTTCGTTTTATTAAGACGATTTCATATACGAGGCGACTTTAAATATACTTCAAAGAATCAATCAAATTTAAAATGCTACAATACCCCCACGTAAGAGCGAAAACTGGACTAACAGGAAAAGTTTTCGTTTAGGGCGAACAACAATCAGGTTGGAACAACAGTAGCATTTTCTAACTACTGCAACAACACATAATGACTTCAATAACTCAAACAGAACAAAAAACAACAAACAAAAATCATAACCAAAACTACACATCATAACTGTTTATGGTTCTAACATAATAACATACAAAATAAAACTGGATGCTCAATTTGACGAATCGGCACCAGGTACAGTTCGTTGGCTCTTAAGCACAACGACACAATGGCAGATTTCTACTAAAATG